TCATTCCAGCTGATGTAGTCCCACAGCACCAGCAGCTCGAGCTATGCATTTACACAGACAAAACCTGTGCTTATACTCCATAGCTTGTAATTCACAGCCTTGCCTGCAGCCACTGCTTCTGGTCCCTTAGCTTACATATCAGAGGTCTGTATGAGCTGCAAACTCCATTGTTAGCCAGGACTGGGATCATTGCATGGTGCTGAAAATGTCAGCAAGAGAAACTATTGGTTCTTTGTCATCACTCCAGCAGAGACTTATTTCAGATTCTCTGGGTAATGCTGTTTCTGGAGTGATGTTTCTTGACATGTAAAAGTGCCTTATTGCAGAATACTACAGTTTTTTGATGCTGTTACAAATGGCAGCTTTCACCATCTCTGAAGTTCTCCTATGTTCCACTTATGGCAAAAAAGCTACCTAGGAAATAACCCCAGCTTTAAGTTTGGGGTTCCAGAGACGTATGTGCTCATATTCTATTTATGATCATTTTTGTTCAAGGACAAATGAAGCAAAAGTGAGTAGGAAGTGAAATATTTCTTTCTGTGAACCTAGTCCCCTGTGAGCTACATGTTTAAAAGTTCATTGGTCACCTGGGCTGCTGAAGGCAAGCAAATTCAAAAGGCAGCATTCAAAAAAATGCTGCTTTTCCTCCCTTTGGTGTCTTCTAGGAAATGCAGCTTTATTGAGTGCTTGATGCTTTTGTAGCTAAAGTTCAGTGAGATGGAAACAGACCTATGCTGCTGCTCCTCTGCCAAGAAATAGCAGACATTATGTTTCTCCATATGGAGCAGTGCTCTAAATTATTGTGGAATTCCCTTTCTATTAAAAAGCAAACCAAAATAGCCTGTTCAGAAATAATTCAAAGATTTTTAAGAATGTGCGAGAGGTGTTTTTCCAGGATGTCAGAGACAATTTAATGTTCTGTTAGATTGTTATAAATTTCCTTGCCTCTACAGGTAGTAAAAGCATGTAATGTACAAAGGTAAAACATAAAGTAATGCTCTCATAAGAAAAAGTAGCATAAGAAAAAGCAGCTATGCACTGCTCCTAGCAGTTGATTTTTGCACAGTAAAAGCATAAAATCTTGCAATACTGGACCTACACCTCCTCTGCACTGGGAATTTCACTATATGAGGTGTGAGGCAATGAAAAATCAGGGCCATAATATCCTACTGAGCTTCTGAGTCATCTTATTGCACTGAAGTAAAAGCACTTAGAAAATACAAGCCATCTGTGATGTTAAATGCAATTATCTGATTTGCCTTAATAAATGCTCAGAAATCACTGCCAACCACTTCAATTTTTCAACATCATTCTGAGTCATTCATAAGCAGGTAAAGGTCATTGTGCTCAGACCTTATCAACTCTGATCATTATCAAGTTATTATTTTCTGCAATAACACAAATGCTTCCCTCCGAATCCAGCACATAAAAGACCTTAAAAGGCAATGTAATTTTTTTTAGCTCTGTCCTGGTTTCAGCTTCAACCATGACAGCTCTGACATTCAGAGGATCACACTAGGTATATTACATCTAAATCAACACAGTATTGACTATTACTTATACCTTCTTCCTACTGGCATCAAGGTAAGTGACAAACATTACTGTTGTTAAAGGTCAGATCCCAAGCTCTGTATTGCAGATTCCTCATGACTGGAGCTTCTGTACATCGGAAATTATCCAGATATGTCCCTCTTCTGTTTGCACAGTAATCCTGCCCAAGTGTGAAAGGGGCACTGTGATTATATGAATTATACGTTCTGATTATGAGTGCATTATGCTTGGGATGTGACAGCCCCATTGGGCATACACAGATCATGTTCTAGGCAGGCTCTGTACAGATGCACAAGTCCCACACTGCTCAGGTTCATGTATTTCTTGACAGGGAGACCTAGAAGAGCTACGGTGCACTCTAAAGCTTTATTTCTCAGAAGTTATTTACACCTGTAACAAAAGATACAAGTATGAATAAAGCCATGTTATATAAGTGTAAAAGTTCACAGCTGGTCATCAAGAAAAGCTGCATGTTCTACCCAAGTCTGAGCACACTGAGCACAAATATCAGTGCACACACTAGCCAGTGTCTAATGTGTGAGCGCAGCAGGAGTGGTTTGAATGCTCACCCAGTAAAAACAGTATAGTAGCTCCACTGCAGACCTGGTTCAGGTTCCTCAAAACAGCAGAGAAAATAATTGCTATAACCAGCAGGAGACACTGTCCAAGCATGCAGAGGTGGTGTTAGGAATGCCAAAGCCCACCTGCGGATGTATCTGTATAAAGGACAAAAAGAAGAGCTCTTCATCTATGTTAAGAGGAACACTGGGGAAAAATATGGGTCTGCTACTGAATAAATAGCAGGCCGTAGTGACCAAGTACATAAAAAAAGCCATTGTACTCAATGCCTTCTTCACTTCATCTTTCCTTGTAAGACCAGCCTTCAGCCTAAGAGCAGTGAGAACTGACACAAGGAACACAAACCCTGGGGTGGGTGAGGATTAAGTCAGGGAACATTCAAACATACTGGATATATATAAACTCACAGGGCTTGATGGTTTGCATCTGTAAGTGCTGAGGGAGCTGGCAAACACCAATGCAAGATGACTCTCAATTATCTTTGAAAGCTCATGGCAATTTGGGAAGATTCCCGATGACTGGAACAGAGCAAATCTGGACAACTACAGGTCAGCTGGCCTCGCCTTGATCCGTGTGAAGGTGATGGAGAAACTAATCTGGGAAACCATTTCTTGTATCTAGGACAGGGATGCCACTGTACTGGAATCCATGGTCAAAAATGGATTTGCACAAGGGGAATCAAGCCTGACTTGACATTCCTGACCTGACAGCTTCCTATGAAGAAATAACTGGCTTTCAATTCTGTTCCAATAACACTGTCTTAGAAAACCGATAAAGACAGGTAAGTGGTTGGTGAAGTGGATCAAAACTGGCTGATATGCTGAGGTCAAAGGATTTTGATCAGCAGCACAAAGTCCATTTGGAAGCCAGACATTAGTGGTCTACTTCAGGGGCTCATAGTAGGGCCAATACACTTCTATCATTAATGAACTGGGATGATGGAACAGCAGGCACCTTCACCAAGTGTGTTGATAATCTCAAACTGGGAAGAGTGGCTGAAACACAGGATGGTTATGCCACCATTCAGAGGACCCTGGACATGCTGAAGCCTGTCCATTGAGGACCATGAATATGATTAAGTAGTACCATCTTCAGGAATATCTCTTATTCAAGAAGAGTCTAAGAGAGATGGGCCTATTCAGCTCATAGAAGAAAAGTCTTTGGGGGCATCTCCTAAGTGTGTATAAATACCTGATGGTGGGGAGTAAAGAATGTGGAGACAGATTCCTCTCAGCAGTGTCTCAGACATAAGGCAATGGACACAAACTGAAATAGATAAAATTCCATTTAAATTAAAAAAGAAACTGAGGAGAGATCAAACACTGGAGCAAGCTGCTCAGAAAGGCTGTGCAGTATCCACCCTTGGCAATACTGAAACCGAAACAGACATCACCCTGAGCAACCTGCTCTAGTTGCCCCTGCTCTGAGCACAGGTTTAAACCAGATTATCCTTAGAGCTGCCTTCCACCCCCAACAGCTCCATAATTCAGTACTTGCAAGTTACACCACTGAATTGTTCCAGGCCACATCAAGTTACAGTTAAGCAAACAATAGTATTAGTCAGGATTGTTTAAACAAGTTATCCAACTGTTTGCCAGCTGGTCACATGGACCTGCTATAGTAGACTGCTCCTCTAGTTCTGTTTAAACACATCCTCTGTTAGGTATAGTTCTTCCATTTTTTATGAGGAATGCTTATGTGGTAGAATTCAGTGATTCACACTCTCCAATCATGAGCAAGGAGGGCACTCAGTGTGTTACTTTTCTCTGCAGGAAAGGGACACAAACACTTTTCAGGAGAGCACGGATGTCACCCACTGCTCTCAGATCTCCAGTACAAACAAAGTTGTCTGAGGCTATCGCTGAAACAGCCAAATTCTAAATCAGTGACACTACCCTCTCTTGTTCCCACCTCACACCACTGAATTCCTTGTGCTGCCACACTGTTTGGGCAGTCACCAGTGAATGAGAGCAGGTAACTCGTGGGCGTAGCACTTAACAGGCTTTGCACCAGATTTCAGAAGAAAGGAAGGCTGTTCAAGGTTAATGATAGCAGGAAGGTAAATCCACCACTTTAGAGAGAAGTTGCTTAGTCCAGGGCAGCTAAAGGCACTCATGAGATCATAGGAGGATTCAGGGTAAAAGGAACCACAAGAGGTCTGTAGCCCAATCTCCCGCTCCAATCAGGATCATGTGCAAGATCTGAGCAGGTGGTTTATGGTTTTGTGCCAGCTGGGGCTTGGGAATCACCAAGGATGGTGGCTGCAAAACTTTTCTGAGCACCACCCTGCTCCTATAAATGACTCCACCAAGTGAAAAAGGGTTTCCTTATACACAGCCTGAACCTCTCTTTTTTCAGTCTATGCCCAGTTTGTCCCAGCCTTGCCCTGCACGCGAGTGGAAAAGCCTGACTCAAAAAGCTGCCATGTGAGGCAGTCACAGCTGTGGTCTCTGCCTGCAGCCCTGCTGCTGCTTTTGGATTGTATTGCTGGGAGAATTGTCACAAACTTGCTTTGGGAGGAGAATCTGTGGTATATTTCCATGTTTGTATAAAATTATCTACAGTTTACCATAAAGCAATGAATGGAATAACCCATTAAAACATTTGATGATGGCAAAAGTCAGTGCCATTCTTAGTGCAGAAGACATAGGTATTATTGGAAAGTGGAATTAACTTCACACTTATAACAAGAGTGACATTTTTATATAGTTCTCTCTGCCTCAGACATGTACAGATCATATTAACACACCCACTTCCCTTCCCTAATCATCTATCAAATGAAGTGAAACACAAAAATTCTATGAATTTTCTGGGTATTTTAACACTCACATACCATTTTTCTTCCTTGAAATTGAGAACAGGGAACATGATTCTTTAAGAATATTTTAATTTATTTTTAAAAATAAATAACTGAAAAAGAGAATCAGAGAAAACACCAGATAATTATATAGTAATGATAAAACACACCTTCCAGACATCCTGTGATTGTTTTTGAGTCTCCTAGAAATCCCTAAATGTACTTTCTGTAGTATTATGGATTATCGTGCAAAATATTTTTGACAATTAGGAAATGTAGGTGTGTAAGACAAACAATACTCAAAGTATATTTCAGTAACAGTATGCACAAAGAATATTAATTATGTAATTAGACTATTACACTAGTAAAGCCCAAATTTCATGGCCTTAGTGACATTTAAAATCATATTACATGTATTTTAAACATGTTTATCTATATTTTCCTTGCTAATAGCTCTTCTGAAGTCATTCTCAGACACCAGAATGCTCCTTCTGAACATTTGCCCTTACACTTTGACATCTACCATACTTTGAGTCTTTCTATGGTAGTAAGCCTGGATCCACACTAGCACAAGAATCTGTTTCCATGGATCAGAGCATGGGACTTATACCAAAAGTCTGTTTCTCCCCTTTTCTCATTATATGCTTACATGAGTTAAAAATTCAATTAAAAAAAAAAAAAAAAACCACAACCAAACAGCTATGCACCCAGCATTTTTTCTCTGTGCCTTTAATGTATTTGCATGAGTCTCAGCAGGTTTCTTAGGAAATGCCACTTCCTAGAGAAAAAAAGAGAATCCAGAAAAACTCCACACCCTCCTCCTTTCACTCCAGACCTGGCACCCACTATTCCTCAGGCTCTTTTTTCAGCTATGTGGCTGATTCTGACAACGGGAGGGGAATTGTAAAGGAATTTTCTACGCACTGCTTCCACACCTGAATTTCCACCTACCTCCTTCACTGCAGTGTCCACAAAACTTTATTGTTTTTCATTAGCAAACAAGTGCAGCTCCTGACCTGGGGTGTGTGCTGAGAGTGTGTGCAAACCATCTACAGCCCTTCCCTTTTCTTCTTCCAGCCCTCCTTACTGGCAGAGGCACTGCAGTGGAAAGCTCCACTTCTCCTTCCCTATCAGTATCAAATCTGTATTGTCCCACACCTCCCACACCTTTTCCCAATCTCAACATACTTTTCAACAGTTACCTTTGAAATACACACCCATTTCTATGTACTCTTTCCCAGGAATATGCAAGGCAATAAGAGTCCAGATACTGAAATTTTAGGCAGATGGTATGGTCCTGTTTCTGTCATACTTCGGTTTGCTGACAAACTTTGAATGGTTTTTATCTCACCATCACAGTTTAGGCCCACTCAGCTGAGCAAATCACAACCAAAAATATTCAGTCTGGGCTGTGCTGCTCTTTACTGCCAGAGACACGTGGTGCCTGACTTGAGGTCAGCGATTTTCAGATGTTTCTTAAACTGTTCCTGAAGACTTCTCCTGTGCATGTGGTTTGGGCACCAAAAATAATTGTGCTTGAAAATCTTGGGTCACAATGATATGGCAGAAGTATCTCGTTAACAAGATCATCAGATGAAGATGAGTGAGAACTTCACTGTTTTACAGAAAAGATTTGGGAGCACAAGGGGTTGCTTAAAGCTAAATAACTGTTGAATTTCTGAAAGGTGAAAGGGGAATAAAAAGAGAAAAATGATGATAGATGATGTGAAGTATACAAGTCTAACATCTTGTTTATACTTCAGAACTCTTGCAGTAGAGCAATGCTGTTGATGAACATTCATCAACTGTACTTTCATCTGATGTTAGCTGGCAGAAGTCCTATTCAGAAATAATTAGAATGGCTAAGGAGCCTCTGGGCAGTATTGCCTTTTCATCTGGTGACCTAGGGCAAAGTAAACAGCAAACTGACTATGGCTGTGACAAACCAAGTTTAAAGGAGGTTTGCTACACTTTTAAGAGAAAGTTTAGAAGAAATCTCTCTGAAGTGAGGCAAGGTAAAATGAGAAGCAAGACAGTAAGGCAGAGAAAGCAAGAAAGAGCTCTTTCTAAGCAGAGAAATATGGTCTTTTTCTACACTATAATTTAACAGGGCATTTTAACAAAGTTAGCTCACTCTCACCTGATGCTTCTGAAAGCTCTTCTCAAAACAGATTGTACTTTACCATAGATTAATTCAATCAATTCACACAACCCCTTGAATCAATTCACAGGCTCTTTTCTCTGATGAACAACATACACTAAATTACAATTTGTCTACTTTTGACCAGAATTTGTTAAGTTTCTGATGGTTTTAGATACTGTTAAATATTATGTTTCACTAGCTATTAGGTATCACACACTACACCTTTAAACATCTGTCATGCCTTATTTGCTATCTAGTCACAGCCATAATTCTGCTGTTCTTCAGCAGGCATGAAGTTGTAATTAAAAACTACAGGGCTGTTTAAAAGGCTTAGTAAAATTGATTAAATGATCACCCCATCACCGGGGATGTCCTCAGGGTCCAGAGCTGAAATGTAGTTACCAGTCAGAAATTCAGCATACTAATGGGGATAGGACTCCAGTGCCCCATGTCCATGCTACTTTTAACTCTGCGCCTTGATTTATTCCCTCTGTGGCTCCCAGCTCATTCTAAACAAGAAAGCACTGCTTCACATATGCATTAGCCAGGTAATTACTCCAACATATCTCCAAATATTGTCACAGTCAAATAAATTACTAATATTTGAATACATAAGCTTAATACAAAATGTTATCAAAATCACAGAAGCTTATTATGCATTGAAGGCTGTATGTGTGTATTACATATGTTTGAAAATTGTGATATCTACGAATATCCTGTTTTCTCCACAGAAAGCATGTGAGCATCAGTCCATTCTGCCAGCATATGGGATCAGGTATTGCACTCGGGAGGACCAGCACATCCTCTCAATTTTTTCACTTATAATGCACTGTGAGTATGCCTACCACTTTGCAAACATAGGAACGACAAGGCTGCTGCTCCAGGACACTTGTATCTGCACTCATGTACAGCACAAAGGCTAATAGTTCAAGTGCTTATGAGAGCAAACAACGAGTCAGGTCTTCGGGGAAAAGTTGGTTATTAAAAAGGTTTATGGAAAAAGTTGGGCTTCAAGACATTTCTTATAGGTTCTGAGATTCTTTCATAAAATAAATAATGAAGACCTAGTTTTTAATTAATTTAGATATCTTAAGAATGTCAAAATTCTTGGGGTTTGTGAAGACCATATTCACTTGCATTAGGTATAATCTTGCACTCTAATTTGAGGTTTGTTTTGCAGAAATAACCTGTCACAAATAACACTTATTAGCCACATTAGCCAGTGCTAACAAACAAAAAGAACTCGTGGCACTGTTTTTGTGCCCTATCTGGGTTTGCCCTTGTATACTCAGTTCCTTTGCTGTTCTCTTGATTTTAATAATGACATAACTTTGGTGAATAGAGTAGACTGTTTGTGGCTAGTTAATATTTTCTGATACATTAAAGTGAAATAAATATCTACTTCTGAATGAAAAAAAAAACCAACTTAAAAACCTTTCTGATATCTCAAAATAAAACTGAAAAATGCACAAGCCCACAGCTGGCTTCCAGGACAGATCTGGGAGCAGCAGGCTGTTTGGTGTAAGATTTCTGGAGACCTGAAGCAATGGCTCTGCTACTGCGTCCCTATCTCCTTCGTTTTTGGGGTTTGTTGTAGGACTTGTCAGAGTGGGTAAGACGGACAAAAACTGAGGGCCTGACTCGAGGGTGAGGTGCTGACTGATAGTTCCCGGTGCTGTGCGTGCCTTTTTCTTTCCCTGCGGACAAACTCCTCAGGCCGGCAACGGGGCGCGGTGGAGTGGGACAGGGAGAGGTCGGATTTATCCTGGAGCCGTCAGCCTGCAAGTCTGAGACCACCGAAACCCTGGAGAGAAACATCCCAGCGCTGCGAATGAAGCCTCCCGAGGCAGGGTGCCCGCGCAGTCCCTCTCCCAGGAAGCCTCGTGGGGGTCCCCGGCCCTGCCGCCCCTCAGAGCCCACGGCCGGGCCCCGTGCCGCTCTCCGTGCCGGCGGGGACGCTGCCGGCGGCAGGGAACGGCCGGTGCCCGGCGGGGCGCCCTTTTCCCGGGACTACGTTTCCCAGGATCCGCGGCGCGGCCCCGCCCGCTGTCAGCGAGCGCTGCAGGTTGATCGCCGCGGCTGCAGATGAGCGGAGCCCGCGCGGGCGGGGGGGCGGCCGGGGCAGCGCCGCCGGGGCCGGGTCGGCGGCCGGCGCACTATGCGAGGCCGGGAGGATGGCGGTGGAAGGTAAGGGCTCCGCGTCCCCTGCCCGCCGCCCCCGGGGTCCCTCCCCTGTCTCCTCCCCCGGGCACTCACCTGCGCCGCGGCGGAGCCGCCCCGGCCCGGTCCGGCGGGCCGGCAGTGTCCGTGGCGGGGCCGCTCTGCCGTCCGCTGCCTCGGTCTCGCCGCGGGGCATCCCCGGCCCCGCGCCCCTCGGCCCGCCCGCCCGCCGCGCCGCGGCTGCCCCGCGCTAGGTGCCGGGAGCCGGGCCGCGGCTGCCGCCCCCGCCCGCGGCGGGGCAGGCGGCAGGAGCTGCCCGGAGGCTTCCATCGGCAACTTCCCGGCGGGCCCGGAGGTGCCGCCTAGCCCGGCAAGGGCGGCCGACCTGCGCCGCCTCCCTCCGGAGCGGCCCCGGCCCCGCGCGCAGCCCCGGGCGCCTTCCCCGCCCCGCCGCCGCTCGGTCTCCGCGGGCGCCGGACGCCGCCGTCCCTCGCTGCTGTCCACGTCCTCCAAGTGCCCCGAGAACGCGGTGCCCGCGAAGCTCCAGCGTGCCCCGCATGGGCGCAGAGCTGTGCTCGGCCCCTCCTTCCCTGACAGGGATGGAGAAGCCAAAGGGCCGAGATGCTCAGCTCCCGGGCAGCCGGGAGCTGCAAGGTGTTCATAAGGTGCTCGGCTCCTGGGGAAGCACCCGCTAAGGCGATAGCTGCCAAGGCCTGGACAGGTGGATGCTTTGCTAGGTCTTCCAGTAAATGATGGGCTCCCCTTACTCTTCTAACATTGGCTGTGTGTTCCCTTTCCACTGGGTCTTTTGGTAAGTTGGAGGAGACAGGTGTATGAGGAAAGGCAAATATGCTTTCCTGCTATCTGCTTCCAAGATTCACTTGGTTTTCTAGTGCTTTAGACTGAGGCAGTGACAGTCCTGGGGTTTGTGCCTCATCTTGCTTTATATGATGCCCTTGAGAAAATTTAAGAATCCTGTGTAAACCAGCCACCTGACCCCTTCTTCTGTGCTTAATTTAGTGTCTCCTGTGCTTAATTTAGCCCGTCAGTATTTTTTTGTGTTCATCTTGTGACTACCATGTGTTTTGTTTCTCAGTTATGCTGAAATCTACAATTCTATTAGAGACATTTGCTTTATTGCTGAAAATCATGCTGAAGCTGTCTTTTGCTGAGTACCCAAGTCAACAGCACAAATGATAGTCCAACAAAAACTTAAACGTCCTGGTGGCAGTGGGGAGCTTAACATCCCTGAAAAACAGCTTCCTATCCAAATTCAAGTAAAGGCAAACAAGACCACTATATCTCAAAAGGTGTCTGTCAACATCCCAAGTTCTTCATTCCACATGTAAGCCTCTTCCTAACGCAAGCATTCCTTAGGCACAGGCTGCTTTACCGAATGGCAGTTTTGAAGAGTGGAGTGATACAAAGAAGAAAGGTAGTGGTCCTGAATAAAAGCATTATTTTGGTGGCAAAAGCATAATGACGTGCACTGGGCATGCGTGCCCGGTAGTGGGTAAGTAAGTAAATGAAATGGACTGCCATGCACCAGATGGTTCATATGCCAGCAGCAACCCCTGTTTCAGTGTGCTCACTAATGTCATCCCCCTTTATTTACTTGAAGTCCTTCTCAGTCTGTTTGCTAGATCTTTTCAGGTCTGTAATAATTCCTGTCATATCTGCAGTGCCCTCCATCTGAGAATCTCTAAAAGCTTTGTAAATATTAATGAAGGAAAGATCTGCTAAAGCTTTGGGAAGCAGTGCCTTTCCCTTCTCCTGAGATGGAATTTTTTTCTTTAACTCCTTCTTCCCATTTCCTTCCCCCAGGATGCATCCTCCTGTGGTGTGTCAGAACAGGCATTCTTGTCTGTATGTTCTGCGCTACTCCCATTTTGGTTTTTTCTCCCTCAACTTTCTTGCCTTTGCAGGATTCTGTTGCCCTCACACTAACACAGCACTATGACTATTTCTGCACAAGTAGCCATGTGGCCATGATTGCTTTGTGTGTTTTTAGTGCATTCACATTTCAGGCCCTTTATTATCCATCATTTTATGTTGGAACCATGTTTCTTTGTGTGATTATTCTTAAAAGTTTGCTTTTCTCTTAATGCATCTTCTGCCTTATTGGAGACCTAGGTGTGAGCTGTGTTCTGTTCCTGAACTGTGACTTTTGGCAAGGAACATGAGGCATTACAGCTTCTCTTTGGAAAGCTGAGAGGTTACTTGTTCCTCATGACTCCGATCATCACAGTGTACAGACCTTGCTTTAGTCTAAAGCAGAGTTGCCATTGAATCTTCTAAACAGATAATTTTGTAGAAAAATATCCTGGACTAAGGAAGAGCAGACAGTTGGGATTTTTCTGTTTTCTGTTTTTTAGATTTGTTTATTTTCTTTGGAAACATGCTTTCCTGGTTTGCAGCTTGAAATCTTGAGAGCATAACCTGCTGTACAACAGTTTTGGAAGCTTGGAAATAAGGTTTGAACTGAGGTTGTTTGGCCTTTCAGTCTCTGCAGTAGTCAGCTGGGACCTTGGCTAGGATGGGCTTCCTGGGCTTTCTTTTATAGAGTGATGCAAGGCCTTTGAATGGTTGGGCCAATTGGCTTCTTGTGCAGACTTGTGTCTGGCTCTGGGATGCAGCTGGTGGGGAGGGGGAAGGTCCCTGGGGCACCAGGGAGGCAGGGATTCTGCAGCACAGGAGTTCCTGACTGGAGGGAACATCCACTGCCCCACCAGCTCCTCCAGGGCTGTTGTTCTATGGAGACAGCCTGTTTGTCAGCTTCAGCCATGAACCCAGAGTCTTTGATTTGTTTTTCCTTTCAGAAATGCTCTATGTGGCTAAGGTGAAAATATTTTGTAGCATATACTTTTTGGAAAATCTTTGAAAAATTTATTTTATCTAAATAATTGCTGAAATCTTCCTCAAATCTGATTATTTTAAAGCTGTCTTAGCATGGTGTGCTGGTGTTTAGCAATGTCAATAAATGTCCATCGGTTTACTTAAGGAAAGTATCCCAGCTTTTTTACTGAGATAGGTGACAGTGATAGACTTGCATATCTGAAATAGGAATTTGGAGAATACTGCACTTCTTTGCCAGTTATATGTAATACATACTTTAGTGTCCCAAAAGAGTTTATGTGGGCTGGGAGGTCCTTTGGGCTGTATAGTGCCAGTGCTTCCAGATTAATGAAAGGATTGGTGTGTGTGTATGAGGAAAGTAAGTTTGCACTCCTCAATATGAGCCCGTTGAGATGGCAGCAGTGCCAAGGTAAGTCTATTTTTAGACTCAACAGTTTTGACAATGTTCCTTTAAGTGTTTTTTCTCCTTCTAGTAAGAATGAAAGAACTAGGTCAGAGCCAGTAGAAAAAGGCTTTTGATCTCTGCAACAGTGTTCTCATTTTTTTCCCCCATTTGCTCTTGTGCAGCAGAGGTAAAGGGGAGAAGAGGGAAATGGTGATTTCTTTCCCTCCCACCCCCAGTGTTTATTGCACAGGAAAGTGAGAGACTGACAGCACCCATCAGATTATGTCTGCATGCAGGTGTCCCACACAATTATTTGGATCCGCTGCAGCTCTGATTTGTGGTATTTTTAAGATTCCTTTGCAAAGAAAAGTGCTAATTATATCTTGGAGTTCTTTCATGGCAAGTGTTTAATGAAATTTGGTCTAACACCTTCCTTGCTGTGTATAGACTTTGGAAAGTGCCACAGAGATTTGTTGCAGGTCTCCTTCTGGAAGTTTATGTAAACTTCCAGTCTGCTATGGCTCTTCTGTAGTAAGCTTATGCTATTGAGACCCTGGATCTTCCTACAGGATAGTACGTTTTACTAAGAAGTGGAGCCTTGCTGACATAAAATGACAATGACTGGCCTTACCCCTTGGTAATCCTTAAATAGACTAAGACTCAGAGGAGATTAGGGCATTCTGTGGAGTGTCATCCAGGTTAACTGCTGCAGGACTGAAGTTATTTGCAGCTTGTAACCAACTTCTATCAGAGTGATCCTGTGCATTTCAGCTATGTGATGTACCTTGGTTGAACGCCTGCAGTGCCTAGCAACTCCATGGATATTGAATGCTGCCATGTGTTTCTTCAGAGACTTGAAATATGGTGAGCTCATAGATGTGCTATGCTAACTCTGCCAAGAATGTCAAAGCAAGTTCAGGATCACCCAGAGGACAACTTTGAAGCAGCTTTCAGTGTAGGTACCTATCATGCTGTTCCAGGGTGTGCCCAAAAGTACAACTCTTCTGACAGGTATTCAGTTACTCAACTTCATCTTATTTCTACACCCACTTTGAGCTCAGACTGGGTATGTCTCCATATCTAAGTTTCCAGGGAATGTGATCCAATAGATGGTGTTACACCACACTTACTTGCCTATGGAGCAAAGAAGTAACAAGCCCTGTGATTCAAAAATAGCACATGCTTCCATCATGTTTTTGGTTTCTTCAGTAATTTCTAACCACTTCTTAGCTTGAAGGATTCGGACATGTGGCTTGGAAATAGCTGCCAGTTGGAAGCAGGACTTAGAGAGACATCTCATTCCAACTCTCCAGCTGAAACAGTCACATTGGGTCACAGCAGAGAAGATGGATAAGACCAATGCTGGAGGTGTATTGTACAGTGAGGCATAAGATTTGAACAGCAGCCTTTGGTCTTGTGTTCTGTGTGTTACTTTCTGACCATTTATTGCAAAAATGCATCAGTAATTACAGGATTCCAGACTGGAAGATAGATCTATCCACATTCATGTGGCATCCTTCTTGTTGGGCTGTAAAATCTACCCCCTTATTTCTTGCTCCACAACAGCTCAACCTCCTGCCACCCCCACACTGTGCATACAGCTTGGTGATTTTATGTGCTTCTGTGCTTTGAACCACTGCCTAGAGCTTTCCAATCTATGTTGCAACATTTGAAAGGGAGGCTGTGAGCTGGAGTTCAGGAGGCGCACTCCATTATGGTAATTGGAGAACCGAAAAGGAAGGTGTGGCAACAAAGAATCATCCTGCAACAAAGTGTCTTTGGGTGTATTCAGCTTGAGTGGAGGGTGGGTATTATGGAAGTTATGTGACCATTTTACCCTCCCTGCTTTTACAAATAAACCCAAATTAGTCAGGAATCAAAGTATCAAGTTACCAAGTATAGACTTGATGTGACACTGTTTCCTTTGGATGAAATTTGGTTGTAGGATAAGAGTGTTTCTGGAAACTCACAAGTACTTTCATGTCAACCCGTTTAGATACAATTCCTTGAGTGTTTGACCTTACCCTTTAAAATACTTGGAAGACTTAGAAACTCAAGGAGGACACTGATTAATATAAATTTACTGGTTCAGTTCAATTGAATACGGTTAAAACTTGTCAGGTGGTGGTAATATGTGGGTAAGGAAGGAGTGATGCTTTGAAAGTTTGTGTGCTTTCTCCACCAAGAAGGGAGTGCAAGTGAGCAAATGACGCGAGTTAGACGTTGGGTGCGTTTCCTAATGTACTACTGGAAAGTACTGACAAAACCTGTAGTAACATTTTAAGAGCTCATGTTTACTGCTTAAGTGGAAACTATAAATTAGAACTGTTCTCAAGGAGTTTTGGAGGTTTTTGTTCTTCTGTTATGTCCAAGCATGGCAGGCAACATCCAGGAGGTTGTGTAGCTTTGTTCCTCTTGTTTACAGCTGAGTGTATGAGGTCAGGGCAAGCTGCTTAGAGCCAGTCTCTAGTGCTTCCCACTATTGCTGTGTTGCAAGGGCCATGACAGGAGAACAGCAGGGACAGGCTCAGAGCAAGGACTGTAGCTGGATGGTGTTGGAGTTGCAGGCTGGTGCTGGTTGTTGAGCTGATAAGCATGGAGAGGTTTCTGTCCAAAACATCTTGTGTGCAGGCTTGCTGATAGGTGCAGAACTAGGTGTCTGTGGAGCACTATAAGTTTTTGTTTTGCCCATTGGTCTCTGAAAGTAATACAGCTGGTTTGCAGAGGTAGTAGAGCTGTTAAAAGGTTGCTTTCCAGTTCACTCAATATTGAGTCTGTGGGTCTGTTGGGGTACTGTGCCTGGTTTTGGAGCAATTTCTGTTGTCCTGACTGAGACAGCTTTACCCTCTTGTGCCCTGTTTTGTCTCTTTGTCTCTCCTTTTGTCTGGACTGTGTGATCCCTAAAGCAATGCTCCTTGCATTATGCTTGCAACGCTCCTAAAGCAAGAGATACTCAGAGCTTAAAACTGAGCAATCCTGTTGTGGATTATTTCTCATGAAAGCTGTTGTCTTTGAATGGATACAGTAATTTCCTCTTGCAGATTGACAATTTAACAGCTCAGCCCTCAATTATCTGCTCAAAACATGCAGAGAATGTAGGGAGTAATTCTGGAAGGTGCCAAAGGCAAAAGGGCTAAAAAATGGAGTAATTTTGAGGTTTGTGCTATCTGGTTGGTGCTGGTCAAAATAGCAAATAAGATATCAAGAACTATGAGGAGAGCTCTGAACAAGACAAGGGAGGTCTTTGTTTCTGTATCATTGCATATTGCTCTTGTATTGTGAATGCTCCCTGCAGCTTTTGCTTGCCACACCCTAAAAGGAGAGGACTGGAAAAAATACAGAAAAGAACAGTGAGCTGGTCAGACACATGGTGTGTTCTCTGAAGGCAGGTTACAGATACTATCATTCTTTAGCTTGGAAAAGAGATGGGCAGGTTACAAAGATTCTGATTCGTTAGCTTGGAAAAGAGATGACCATGGAGAGAATCCTTAGGCCTTGATAAATGGTGTGGAGAAGGTGGAAAAAAGAACTAGGTCACAAGGCAGAACAGTGAAACCATAGGGTTTTGTGCTTTAAATTAAAAATGGAAATAGTTTTTCACATAACACAAGAGTTCCCCAAGTGCGCTTTTAACCTTGGGGGTTATTCCAAATGTGCCAAGGCTGGATCAATTCATGTATGCCCTGCTCTCAGGCTGTTCCTTAAGCAGTGGCATAAAGGGCTAGACTTCTAGTCTGATCAAACTAAACACCCAGCTTGACGACTTTGATGACAAAGTCTAGCTCATCTGCTGTGTGTCCAGAACAATTCCACTCACCACAAAAGTTTGATTTGCGTCGAGTAGCTGACAGGGAAATTTGGTCAGGACAACCCAGAAACAGAGAGGAAATGGGGAATTAGGCACTGAGCTATAAAAATATTAACAGGCAGGGTCATGATGCATAAGATATGTAGCTTTCTTTTTCTTAGTTTATAAGAACTGATACTGCTCTGTAAGAGGAACTGTGTGCCATGTCTGGTCAATGGGATTTGGAGAAGGAGGGTCCTGGCATTAGGCTGCAACTGTAGAAATGCCATCCTGGAAAATATTGATTCTCCACAGCAGGTAGGGTTAGAAACACCTGTACTAATCTCTCTAAATGAGGTAAAGTATGGTCTGAGAGAG